GCACTACAGTACTAATAATAGTACAAATACTTCTATTGTACTGTACTAATATTACTAATCTAAGTCAACTATTATTGCCACCATGATCATTACAGCTTATACAATCATTTCTACTTATGCCCATAATAATATTGCTACTGTAAATACCCTCTTGACATGACAAATGTGAGGGAGAAAATTAGAATTAATTTTATGGCCTTAATTTTAAGAAGTATCATATAGGCACTAGACACCATCCCCACAAGTAGCATGATAGGGGGAAAGGTAACCCTCGACTTGTATATACTGTACTCTACTGTACAAAATACATAACAAATATATATACTGCATAACTAGAAGGGGTTCCACCTCTGGTGCAGGTGTAGGGACCCATAGCCTCAGAAGAAAATAAAAAGTACTCAGAGAAGACCTTGTGGATCCTCACTGAACACTGATATTTTCTTCTCCTACCACCTATTCTTTTAGTAGGTGTGTATATATGTCTAACTTTATTTTAAAATTTCATTTCACAAAATGGGTTACAACATTGGTTACATGCAGGGTACACGGCTACTTGTCACAAGTTGTAGAGCTCCTCCAGCTCCTCAGATGGCAGGAAGGAATCATGGATGCTATATATTTTTTCAACAGAATAAGAAAAAATCTGATGCCAGTCGTTGGTTATTACATTTAATGAAAAAGAGACATTACCAAGGTGTTTAGTCAATCGTTTCTTGAAGATCTGAATTGTGTTTGAAATTACATCAGAAAATAGTTAATTAATGTGTTCCATGACTCTGTGGGCAAAGAATCAATTTCCCACATTTACGTTGCATGCAAGTTCCTTAAGTTTCATATTGTTATTTTATGTTGGTGAATCACTTTGCAACTCGAGTAACTCCTTTTACAAAAGTAACTAATTAACCATTCTTTTCTGGACATCTCCAGTTTGTCTTCAACGTGTTTTGTAATTAAAGAACAAACATTAGACACGTTGAAGAGACCAGGAGCCAAGGCTCCTGGTCTATCATTATTTGTTTCCCCACTCTTTCTGGATGGCTGGTAGGCTTTCAATGAATGAAATTTTTCAGTCATGAGACATGGTATCTAGACTTTTCTTTTTTTTAGTATATTCAAAGTTGTCAAGTCATTGTTGCATACCCAGAGTATGCAACAATGACCAGCTTTCAGACCCGTGGTGTTGTTCACCTCTTTACATACCCAGTAATATCTATTCTTACATATATAATATTCAGTTCCCGTTCATAATTTTTATGCCTCTGACCTTAAAGAAGGGAGATAGGGGGAGGACAGAGGGAGAGGGGGAGGGGGGGGGCCGAGAGAGGTGGAGGAAAGAGGGAAAGGGAGGAGTGAGGGTAGAAAGAGGGAGAAACGGGAGAGGGAATGTGAGGGGAGGGGAGAGGGGGGGGGGAAGAAGACCTAGCAAGGTGCTTTCACTAACTCCGAGCCCTTGTGCTCCACTTTGTACAACACGACACTTGCATGGCTGCCCTCCCCCCACACCCCCCCCCCCCCTCTTCAGTCTCCAGCCACACCTCTGCCAACCCCCCCCCCCACAACCATGGTCCAACTCTCACAACCACACACCAATCCTGCCACAACTATAGACCCCACAACCATGCACCAATCCAGAGAGAGGTAGGGGGAGGGAAGACGAGACAGTGTTAAACTGGAAAAGCGCAAAGAAACCGCTAAGACGGGGCGAAAGGTGAAATGAAAGAAATGAAGGGAGAGGGCAGAAGGGTAGAGAGGGAAGGAGGGGGTAAGGATGAAGGAGAGGGGGGGGATCAGAGGGGGGGAGACCCACAGCCCCTCCCCCCCCTTCTCTGGATTGTACATAGTTAAACACTCATTAAGAGACGAACAGATAAAAATGCCGAGAGAGCAAAAGGTGGTAATTAATTATCAGCTGGAGGCGTGAGTATGAGGAGGAAGGCCAGGTGCCCTCCCCTTACCCCTCCTTCCCTCCCTCTCACCCGTCTCCCTCCCACTTCCATCCCACATGTCTTTATCCTCTTCGTCATTTTCTGGTAATGCCCTCTCCCTTGCCCCCCTGGTAATACCCTCCCCTTGCCCCCCTGGTAATACCCTCCCCCTGGCCCCCTGGTAATACCCTCTCCCTGGCCCCCAGGTAATACCCTCCCCCTGGCCCCTAGTAATACCCTCTCCCTTGCCCCCCTAGTAATACCCTCTTCCTTGCCCCCCTGGTAATACCCTCTCCCTTGCCCCCAGGTAATACCCTCTCCCTGGCCCCCCCAGGTAATACCCTCTCCCTGGCCCCCCCAGGTAATACCCTCTCCCTTGCCCCCCTAGTAATGCCCTCCCCCTGGCCCCCCTGGTAACACCCTCCCCCTGGCCCCCCTGGTAACGCCCTCTCCCTGGCCCCCTGGTAAAACCCTCCCCCTGGCCCCCCTGGTAACACCCTTCCCCTGGCCCCCCTGGTAACACCCTCCCCCTGGCCCCCTGACAGAGGGCCAGACTGGGTGTTGAACAGTGTAATGTGCCAACACCTCCACACCCTGGCCCCCCTGGTAACACCCTCCCCCTGGCCCCCTGACAGAGGGCCAGACTGGGTGTTGAACAGTGTAATGTGCCAACACCTCCACACCCTGGCCCCCCTGGTAACACCCTCCCCCTGGCCCCCCTAGTAATGCCCTCCCCCTGGCCCCCCTGGTAACACTCTCCCCCTGGCCCCCCAGGTAACACCCTCCCCCTGGCCCCCCTGGTAACACCCTCCCCCTGGCCCCCCTGGTAACACCCTCCCCCTGGCCCCCTGGTAACACCCTCCCCCTGGCCCCCTGACAGAGGGCCAGACTGGGTGTTGAACAGTGTAATGTGCCAACACCTCCACACCCGGACCCTCAATATTCATGAGACAATTAGCCTCCAGGAAAACTTCTTAATGGCTTCATGTTTAAGACATTCTTTTTAACTCCGAGCTGCTGACTGATAATGAAACGCTGAAGAGGGAAGTGGAAGAGGGGGTGAAAGGAGGGGGGGACTGAAAAGGGAAGGCGAGGGGAAATTATATAATGAGAAGGGTAGGTACAGAAAAGTAAAAAGGGAGAGAGTGAGAGGGAAAGGTTGTGAAAATTGAAGGAGTGGAGAGGGGGGAGGGAGACAGAAGAAGGGCAGAGGAAGAGGTGACGATGGAGAAGGAAAGATGGAAGAGAGAGAAGATTGGATGGCTGTAGAAGGGAAGGTAAAGATAAGAAAGAGGTAAAGGGCAGAGAGAAAAAATTAAGGAAGGAGGGGGGGGGGAGATGTAAGGACTGGTTGAGGAGCACAAACCTATGCATGCTATGCATGGAGAAGAGGAAGAGTGATGGAGATTAGTGTAAAGGCAAGAAGGGGAATAATAGGTCAAGAGGGAAGGGGAAGAGCAGGTCAAGGGGGAAGGAGAAAGACATCAGTCATCAGGATACTTGAGGGACTTTGGATGAGGATGATGAGTAGTGACAACGGGCAGACTGATGAGAAGAAAGTGATGAGTAATGAGGAAGGCATAAGAGAGGATGATGATTGTGAACATGAAGCTGTGGGATGGACATCTTCAAGATTTAAACTAGACACTTTTCTTCGAGGAATGCCGGACCAACCGGGCTGTGGTGGGTATGTGGGCCTGCGGGCTTGGGTCTGCCAAGCAACAGCCTGGTGGACCAAACTCTCACAAGTCAAGCCTGACCCTCAGGCCGGGCTTGGGGTATAGAAGAACTCCCAGAACCCTATCAACCAGGTATCAAGCAGGAGATGAGAGGCTGATGAATCCCGAGTGCCAGCAACCACCTGGGCAGCAACAGGTGGGTGTGAGGGCCAGGAATGAGGGGTGAGGGAGGTAAGGAACCCGCTAAGGAACGTTAGACTGGCACATTGCACTATATGCACGGAACAGTTCTGGGAAGCCTCCTTATAACATCTACCAAACTACAGTAGGACAACACACCGACACGGTGGCACCCTCGCTCAAGGAACACCACGCCACAAGCAACAAGAGAGTGGCCGAGGCACGCTACAAAATAGGTACCGGATATGAAAGGTATGAAGACTTTACCACTCTGGTAGATAAAACAAACATGAGATATGATAATTACTGCCT